AATGAGCCTGAAGAGATCAGATAGAATCATATAAAGTGAACCATGACTAATAATGACAATAGCAGAAGCAACAGTGATAGTAATAGTAGGGGGAAAAAATTACTGTATTTTAGGTACCAAGCACTGTGCTAAAGGGTTTATAACATACATCTTATTTAATCCTCTCAACAACTCTATGAAAAAGATAATATTATAATCACTATTTTATACACCAAACTCAAGAAGATTGAGAAATTGCCAAAGAACACAAAGTGCCAGAGTGGGTATTCTAGCTTAGGCAATCTTGATTTTAGAGGCTAATTTCTTATCCCTTAAATTACTGCCTCTCTACTGATTTTATGTCTTCAAATATTTCCTTAAAAGAATGACATTTACATGTGAATTTTAGAAATATAATTCCAGTCTCCATGTAAAAGGTGAATTGCTAGGGGATAAGAGGTGAGATAAGCAAACATGGTATTAGTCAAGGCAAGAGCACCTTGTTTTACTAAGCCAATAGTTACAAGTTATTTTACCAGGTTAAATGAAGAGTTTCCCTTTGTTCCAACAGTCACAAATCATACCTCAAACTAATCCAAGTCAACGTGTATAGCATGCTGCTTGTAACAAAAATAACCTGGTAAAAAGGTCCAGCTTATGCAGCATAAATTTACCACCCACTATCAAAACATTTCTCAAAACATACAACATTATTGATGGTTGAATTCTTTTTTAAATTCATAAAGTTTATATTTTTGTATAAGGAAGAAAATAAAATTAGTACTGACGCAAGACAACCATAAAGATGTGCCTTTGTTGATATTAGAAGTCTGATCAACTGTCTGTTTTTCACCCAGGTTAACAATTCCTCTGGCTTTCAGCATCATCAGTTATTAAACTGATGAAGTAAATTACCTGCTGTCATACACCAATGTTCAAATATTTGGTATTCTATCCACCTCACAAACCAGCTAATTTTTTCTTAACTCATAAGCTTGTGATTTCATTGATTACTAAGACAATTCAATATTAAATATTAAGTTTAGTAAATATCAATTAAGTTCAGTAAATACAATTATTCAAATCAGTAAATAACAAATATCTGTATAAAAATATAGTATTTATTAAACAAGTGTCAACACGTATGCTATGCATGAGACTAATAAATGGGTTTATACTCTTTATTATAATAAACTGGACAGAGGGTCCATTACAGATTACACAGATAAAGCATACACAAAATCATTTAGTTCCATACGCAGTAAAATGACATATAAAAGCTTAAAGATTACCCACTAAAGAAAAGCTATTTTTAAAATATACCTATTCCAGATAGGCAATAAAAATATTTTTCTAACTTCAAATTTTAAATACTGTATGTTGAAGACAACTCCCACAGATAATTCCTAAAAGACCTATTTCACTGAGGAGTAGGGAAAATACTTACATTTAACTCTAATTTTTTCTCTTTTAAATATTTGGAGAGACTGTTGGACATCACAATCAATGACTGCAGATCAAAAACCTGATATAGCTAAATAAACATTTTATGTATATATATTGTGACAATGAATTTAAAGCGCTGGGATTTTTACACCCAAAAAAATATATGAGCATTCTCCTGTATTTATACATTATAAGAAGTCCTTTTGGTCACAGACACTAAACATTCAGGTACTGGCAGAGTACATATATAGTCTTCACAGGAAATAAGGGAATGTTTAGAGGAATGGATATACAGAGGAAGGGATAAAGGGAGATCAGGCAATATGCATTTTTGTACATTAGCCTGTGCTAGGAACTCTCACACCCATTATTTCATTTAACAGTAACAATTCCATGGGGCAGGTAGTATAATTCCTTCCCATTTTATAGATGTCTCATAACTTCATAAGTGGCAGAGCTGGGATCTGAACCAAGATGTGATGACAAAGTCTTACAAACACAGCAGGACCTGTCAAAATGTTCTTTTGCAGGAGATTATCTAACTGGAAGATTGATTTGATTTTCCATATTTACACCTCTCTTATTACTTAAACATTAGAAGGCACTCACTTCTCAATTTACGAAGAATGTTCACAGATTTTCTTTCTAATCTGGAAAAAAGCAATACTGATCATTTTCAACCCACAAAGCAGTATTTTCATTGCTCTATCACTAATAAAAAAAAACTTCAGCTAGACTTTGTAGCATTCATATGTACCAGGAGCATGTCTCCATAAAAGAAAAAAAAAAAAAAAGGAATATGGTGTGATTCAAAGGCAAAATATATGAAACTGGAAATACCCACAGAAAATTCAAGACCATCATCATTGTATGTTAGGCTAAATTTCCTCTGCCAGACTTATAAGCAGCAAAGGGGGGAAAAAAAAAGGTAGCTTTCCAAAACTTGACTGACAAGCATGTTACTTCCCTAAGAAAACAAACTGGCTTACAGTTTCCTCCTCTTAAATCTGAGCAAAAATCTACTGACACATTTAAGTTTGAAATATTTCAAACTTCAAAATCATGTTCTAATAAAAAACACTTCCATAATTACTTAACCACCCTCAAAATAAACTGATATTTCTCTCTTGGTAACCAATTAATGAGTGACATTGCTATTGCGTGAATATTAATAAAATTAATATTAACCTGTATTACATTCTAAAAGAAAAATACAAAGCTATAATGCAATTGCTTTGAAAAACAAAACATCACTACTTGAAACAACTCAATATATCTTTCAAGATTATTTCTGGTTGCATTTACAAAAAACAATCTTTGACACACATACCAATTAAAGAAACATAGAAACTCTAAGAATTTGGAAGGAAATTATTCTCAAACCATAATTCAACACAGTGACATTACAATTATTATTTCTGCGCCCCTAGGAGCTACTTTCCTTCCACTGAACACCCCCTACATTTCATTCCCTCAACATTTTAAACTTTTGCTGGGAAGTAATTTAAAGAGTTAAACATAATTTTATCAACTTTGTTCTGATATGAATAACCATGGCTTTATATATAACAATAATGTGAATTAAATGAAATAGATATGCAAATAATTATGTTTAGAGAAGTCATTATTACTTCACCATCGCTGTTTTAACAAGTAAGTTTCTATTGGAAGCACTCTTCCAACAGAACTGTTAAAGACTGGGTCTGCAAAGTAAATCACTAGCTTAGCTCTTCACATGTTTTATTATAACACTATTACCACAACTTTTTACAATGCTCACGAGAATTAAAAGTGATTCCAGAATCAATTAGTGCATCATCATATAGAAGTAATCTCACTATTCTGGAGGACACATGTGTTCCTTATGTTTGTTATAAAGTCTAACTAAAACTGGCATCCACTTTAATGAAAACACTTTTAACTCTTCTCCTAAAACAAAAGTTGCCATTCATAGGAAAAATAAGAGTAAAGACTGAACCCTCCAAAAATATACCAGAAAAAAAAAAAAAAAAACCAAAACAAAAATGTACATACAAAAGCCGTAATAGCACAACATAGGTATTTTATCCTCACCTTATAAATTCATATTAAAGTAAGTGCCATTTTTGTGTTTAAAAAAAAATTTTTTTTAAAGCTATTTTGTTTACCTTTTCCACAGACTGTTCAAGTACTGCCAAGGTAACAGATTTTAAAACTGACAACTGGAGTACTTGGCAGTTGCCAAAACAACACAGCTGGATTCTTAAAGGGAAAGTACTCTTGTGTAATGTACACCTCATTACGGCTTTGGAGAACCTTCTCTTCATATAGTAAAAGATGATACAAGACACAGGGGAAACATGCTGTGTTAAAAAAACTTGAAAAATTTTAGACATGTGTTTAAAAATACTTATACCATTGTTAACACATCACAGCAGGCCTAATAGCACACTAATTGCAATACCAATCTTGTAAACTAAAATGCAGGTCAACACTATGCTGCACTTCTTTAATCTACACACGGTTTCCCTACTGGACCATGACCGGGGGCTCGCTTCGTAGCCCAGAAATCGTACTTCAAGTCTGAAGAACATTTTTATAGTTACACTTTCACGGCGGGGGGGGGGGGGGGGGGGGGTGTTTTTCTAATTCAGGGATGCTCACCTCCTTGAAACTTGTTTGCACTATCTCACCTACCAATTTAATCCTCGCGGTTCAAAGATAGAGGATATCGAACTAAATGGCAAAGTTTGTACCACTAAAACCTTCCCTGAGAGCCGGGATCCACCGGGATGTCAGGGCAGCTAGCTGTTCCCTCTGCAGCCCCTCCTTCCCCGCGACGTCTCCCTGCACCGGAGGGCGTCCGCACCCCGCAGGTGCCCCCAGCCCGGGCCACCTCCCGGCCCGCCCCAAATACCGACCCGGCCACTGACATCTCCACACACGCGCCGAGAGTTCGGACCTGAATGTTCCGCCCGCTTCGACCAACCTTCTCCCAAAGCAGAAGTGGGGGAACTTCTTCAAGTCCAACCACCGCGCAGAGCACCCCCGGCACGAGGGGTCAACCCTTTAGGGAGACCCGGGCGCGGAGAGCAGGAGGCAGGAAAGGGCCTTCGGGCGCTCCGCCCCGGAGAGGCTCCGGGCCCCCAGGGAACTCGCTCAACTTTCAAGGAGGCGTCGTCCACCACCGCCCCCCAGCCCCAAACGCGGTGCGCGCCCGGGGAGGCTCCTCGCGCGGAGCCCGCACGGCGAGCCTCCCTCCGCCAGCCCGCGACACCGGTCAGACCCCGGGCCCGCCCTCGGGGCACCCCGCCCCCACCACCGCGGGCGCCTCGCCCCTCAGCGCCAACCCCGCGCGACCACCCCGCGCCGCCTCCCCGCACCCCACCCGCCCCGTCGCCGCGCGCCTGGGACTCCGGCCCCCTGCCAGCCGGACGCCGCCCTGCCCTGCCGTCCCCGGAGCCCCGCGGGCGCCCCTCGGCCGCGCCGCCCCCCGCCCCAGCGCCCCCCAGCCCCTACCCGGCCCCCTCGCCGAGACGCCGCCCCCTCTGGCACCGTCGACCCCGCGGACCGAACCCCGCCGTCGCGGCCCTCACCGTGTCTCCGGCGCAGCTGGCGAGCGCACACACGCTGCAGCCCGGGCCAGCCACCAGCGCTCCGCGCCGCCCGGAGCCGCCTCCTTCAGCCCGGGACTCGCCGGGACATCCGCGCACGGATCCCCACACCGGGGCTATTTTTAGGAGACAGGCCCCGGCCAGACCGGAACTCGTTCCTGCCGCCGCGCGTGCGCACTACGGCTTCGGTCCTCGGTGTCCCTCCGCCAGCCTCGCCTTTCCCTCCCTTCCACTCGGCTCCTTCTCTCTCTTTTGCTTTGAGGTTTCTGTTCAGAGCTGGCTTATCCTTTCGGTGGGTCCTAGAGTACTTGGGATGGGAAAGACGAAGATGCGGGCAAAGAGAGTCACAGTGGAAACAAACGCTACTCCACAAGGACGCGAGGGGCGGACTATGTTTTTCCGGGTGGGTGAGACGGATCACCCGGCACAGGAAGGAGATGACGGCGGTTTGGCGCCGCGGCTACAGGCTGGAGCTCCCTTCCCTCTGAAGGACCGTGTTCTCCTGGAAGGGATACTGGTCACTTGATGAGGGCCTAGGCGCCTCCCAGGGCGGGGCGGCCCGGCGGCGTCGCGCCCTGCAGCCCCAGCCTCCCCCTGCCGCCTCCTCCCTGACCAGCCCGCTGGGGCCGGGACCGGGAGCGGCTTTAGTGACGCGGCGCGTGGCAAATCGCCGCGCGTGGCCGCCGGCTCCAGCCAACCGGGGGCCCGGGGGGGCGGGGCCCGGGGGCGGGGCTGGGGCTCCGGGGCGCGAGTTCGACAGACGCCCCGAGTCCGGTGCCAGGCGGAGTCCTTCGGGCCGGCCCAGACACCTCCTGCCGAGCTCCTGGGGCCGCGGCCAGCCTCCTTCTCCCCCCACCGCCGCCCTCAGACCACCCCGGGCCTCCCCCTCCCTCCCCCGCCCAGCCGCAGACCTCTGCTCGCCACGCACGCGCCCACGCCCTCATTGTGGTCAGGGCCGCACCTGTGCTCGCGACTGGGCCGCAGCCCGGTCACCCTCACTGAGCAAGCACAATGGGACTCCGGTCCCTGGCGCGCCCCGGCGGCTCGGACCCGGGCCGGGAGAGAGTAGGACTTGCAGGGGCCTGGAGTGGGCAACCCCTTTCAGCCTGGCGAGCCGAGCGCCCTACGTCCCGGGGGAGACACAACCTCCTACTCTGCAGTATTCATAATAGCGAATTACTAATAGGCATAGCTATAGTATGCCTTGAGCGCCAAACTATGTGCGGAACATTTTGCACGTGTTAGCTCATGTATTCCTTACAACACCCCCCATGAAGTAGATTCAGTTTCTATTCCCATTTTACAGAAGAGGAAAGGGAAGCTGAGCGCTAAAGCGACCCTTTGAGGTCACAGTTTAAGAGGAGAGAGCACTGAGGATTTGAACTCCCAACCACCCTGCATACTGTCTTTTCTGAGAGAGGTGCAAAGGAGACGTGCTTGGGACTGCCCTTCTGTTTTGTGGGGTTATTGGTTTTGTTGACGAAGGTCATCAGGAGGTGAGCCATTGTTGGTCCTTGCATCCTGAAGCCTGCTGACCTCTGAAGAGTTTCTACAGCCACACTGCCTACATCTGCACCTAGAGGTGCCTATGCAATGAACAGAAAGCCAAATGGTTATTTTCATTGGAAGATGAGAAACTCAGTACCGCAGCACTCTGAAACAAAGTGATTGGGGTGGGTGAGCCGATGAGCAGACGCTGGGCAAACGAACTGGGAAGTTACAAAGGAAGCTGGAGGCTCGCGGGCTTCCTCTCTTAAGGACGGGGCAAGGTACCGGGGAGAACCCAACACAAAAGCAGCAGACAGACACTGGAAAATAAACCTGGAGTTCTGCTCAGAGCCCCATAGTAACAGTTTTCAGAAGAGCCAGCAGCAAGAACTATAGGCAAGTTTTGAAAACACATTAAAACTTGGTGTAAATCAGCGAGTCACATGGAAATACATTAGCGAAGCATAATCACTATTATTTGCAATCAAAATAACCAATTTTAGGAAATCATCGCAGCTTCTATTCAGGTCTCAAAAGCATGTATCTGAAGTTCAATGTCTTCAGCAACTTCCAGTGCTCACCTTGGCATAGACCATGTGCAAAACACTTGTGTGTGTCACTGGCTTGGAGGAAACTTCTGAGAAGCATCATCTTTCAGTCCTCCAACTCTTTCTGGCCTCCTTAACGCACTCAGGTATCCAGGTATGTCTGAATTGAAAGGACTCAGCATTGTAGTAGGCACTGTGATATGGAAGTGAGCAAGAGCCGCCTTTCCTTCAAAGGGGCCAGCAGGCCACGGGAGAGATACACCTTAAAACACAAGCCAGTCTGCTAATCACCAAGAGAGAGGTTTTTGAGGACACCAGAAAAGCACAGAAGATGAGTATCTAAGAAGGGAAGACAATTACGGAGGGCTCCTTGGAGGAGGCAGTCCCATAGTGAAACTACAAAGTGTCCGGAAGGATGAAAAAGGGGCGCCCTCATTATGTCTTGATCTGAAGAATAAAGCCCAGGCTCTCTTGGAGGCAGCGATCCCTGACCACCTGGCCAGCGTCGCCCCTCATCTCTTCCTGCCATTCAGAAATCTAAGAAGTTTCTCTCCACACACCAGGCTGTTTCTTCCTGTGAGCACGGTAAACCCTCTTTATAACCATTAAGTCTCCACTTAGGCATCATTTTCTCTAAGAGCGTTTCCGTACTATAGTGCCTAGTTGAAGTGCTTCTTTACGTATGTCTGCCTCCTCCCTTTTGGAGAATTAGCTCCTTGAAGACAAGAACTGTGATTCATTCTTTGTTGATCCAAAATACCTAGCACAGTGCCTGGCCCATAATAGACAAGGAAGTAAAAGTTCCTTAAATATTTATGAGCAGGCTTTAGGCAGAAGGACTGCTGTATGCAATGAGTGTGGCTCAAGAGAGAAACCATGGCTAGTATATTGCGCCTGAAGCCTGGAGTCTGGATTAAGTGCTCAGGAGCAGTAGGAGATAAGGCTAGAAGACGGAGACGGTGCAGAGCCTTAGCAAATCCAGCTAGGCCATTTGGATTTCTTTCTGAAAGCAATGGGAAATACTGACAAATTTCAAATGGTGGAATAGTTTGACCTATTTGACATTTCCGAAGGATCACTTAGGGCAGTAGTTGGGAGCAGGTGAAAGAGAGCGAGACAGGAGGCAGGGTGACCAGTTAGCAGGCACGGCCACTGCTGGTAGAGCATCCCCTGCACACACTTCCCATCCCCAGAGATCTCCACAGCCTGTCCCCACACATGATGATGCCTTCCTGTGTGTCTCTGTCGAGGGAACACTTTGGCCCTAGGAGAGGGCTTGGGTCAGTAGACAAATACCCTAGCTTCCTCATGCCTCGGGAAGACAATTCCTAAGCATGTTCCCCAAAGTCTCTCAAGGGTTGGGGAGCGGGGATCACAGTGGATTGGGCCCCAGTTGTCCTCTGTGGTGACCCACTCAGCCACTTTTTGTTGTCTCTCCTCATCTCCCCTATCTCACATCCCCCTTCCCTCAGAGCCCTTGCCAGGATCACCTTCCAAATAAACAACCCATACCCAAATCCTTGTTTTGGGATCTGCTTTTCAGGAGACTCACTTAAGACAGACGGTAACTGAAGTAAGGAAGAAAGAGGACCTAAATGAAGATAGTTGCCTGACAGTAAGGAGAGAGCAGGAACAAAGCAAAGGGATAGCTGGAAGGTAGAATTGACCTGCTTGCTTTCACTGAATGTGGGGTTAGGGAAGGTAGAGGAGTCTCTGTTTGCCCCGAGGTTTCTGATTTGGGGTCCCAGGTGGATAATAACAGCATCATTTAAGTGGGGAACACTACTGGAGGGGGCTGGACAAGACAGGAATGATGAGTTCCATTCCATTCATGTTGAAATTGAGATGCCTATGGGACAAAAGTGTCCTTAGCCTTGTGGGGTTGGAGAAAGATACAATTAGATGAGACTGGACAATGTAGGGAGGGCTTTCTGGAGGAGGAGAAATTTAAGCAGAATTTTGAAGTTGAAGTATATGAGCTGGTGGAAAAGAGAAATAGCTTATGGAGTGGAAGAATGATGAGAGGTATGGACAGTAAAAAGAATGGATTAATAGAAAAAAGTAAGTTTATCTCAACGAGGGAAACCTCAAAGAGTTTTTAATTTGTGAGCTGCTTAAAGATAGGAACCATGCCATGTTCAGTCTTGTGTCCCTGACACTTACATGAAGTTAATATTTATGAAATATGGTGTGAACCAGGCAAAATGTCTCAATAAATATTTTTCATGAAGTCTTAGTCTCGCATGAGCAAAATTAAAAATGGAAGGTTTTTAGATGGCAAAGACATATGAAAAGATGCACAACATCACTCATCCTCATGGAAATGCAAATCAAAACCCCAAAGAGATATCACCTTACATCTGTTTGGATGGCTAGAATCAAAAAGACAAGAAATAACAAGTGTTGGTGAAGACATGGAGAAAAAGGAATCCTGGTGCACTGCTGGTGGGAATGCAGATTGGCACAGCCACTATGAGAAAGAATATGGAGTTTCCTCTAAAAATTAAAAATAAAAATACCATATGACAGTAATTCCACTGCTGGGTATTTACCCAAAGAAAATGGAAACACTAATGTGAAAAGGTATATATGTACCCCTGTATTTATTGCAGCATTATTTACAATAGCCAGTATCTGGAAACAACACAAGTGTCTGTCGATAGATGAATAGATAAAGAAGATGTGGGATATATATACAATGGAATATTACTCAGCCATAAAAAGAATGACATCTTGTCATTTGCAACAACAGGAATGGACCTAGAGGGTAATATGCCAAGTGAAATAAGTCAGAGAAAGACATACACCATATGATTTCACTTATGTGCAGAACCTAAAAAACAAAACAAATGAATAAACTAAGAAGCAGGGAACATAGAGAACAAACTGATGGTTGCCAGGGGGGAGGCAAGTGGGGGGATGTGCAAAATAGGTGAAGAGGAGTAGGAGGTACAGGCTTCCAGTTATGGAATGAGTAAGTCCTGAAGATGAAAGGTACAGCATAGGGAATATAGTCAACGATATTGTAATAGTGTTGTATGGTGACAGATGTATAGAGATATTGAATCACTATGTGGTATACCTGAAAGAAATGTAATATTCTGTGTCAACTATACTTGAATTTTTAAAGAGATATAAAACAAAATTGAAGGCTTTAAATGTGTTACCCCAAATTAGTGAATTCTCCAAATTCAACTTTGTCTTTTTTAGAAATATCACATATAAAAACTACATCTTACTTGTAAAGTGACTTGCTTCACTTGTATATTTTACTTGTAAATCTGACATAGGATTTAATGACTTGTAAATATTTGAGAAAATCCAAATTCCACCTTTTAAATTAAACCCAAAGACAAAGATATAATCTAATTTGTACTGTACATCACAGGTTCTTTAGAGTTAAAATCATTAATGTATACGTGCGAAGAGTGAGACCTCTCACACATTCTTTTTCTATTGCAAGGTCCATGATAAACA